TTTATAAAACCAGAACTTATTAATCCCGAAAACATGGAAAATAAGTCAATCTATCAAATAAGTTGTGGTTATTATCACACAATGATTCTCACGAGTGATCGCTGTGTCTATGGATGGGGTTATAATATGTACGGACAGTTAGGTTGTGGACCAGACTATGATATACTAAAAAGGGTCTCATTTCGAGTGAATTTCAATCCCTATCACGAAATTAAAAGCATTTATTGTTTTGCTTATTCTTCATATGCCATCACATCGGAGGGACAGGTGTATAGTTGGGGTCGAAATAGTTGGCATAATTTGGGACACAATTCATCGGGTAATATATGGAAACCACAACTCATTGAAGACATGACTGGTATTAAGACTATCTGTTCCAGTGGTGACACCACATACTTCTTATCAAAGGATGGAATAATTAATTTTTGCGGACAATATATGAATGAAAACAACGAATATTTGTTACAAATATCACCAAAAGTATTGAATAATGATAAGAGGTTTACAGAAATGAATTCCATTATATCATATAAACATGACTTGTGGCGTTTTATAGCTATAATGAATGGCAAATTATATCGTATTGCAAACAAACTAAACGATACTATAATTGAAACAAATGATACAAATTTCTTCGACTGTTTCACAAATGAGTTTCAAATGACTTATAAAACCATTGATTTGTGTTGTTATAAGGAATATAATTATAAGAATTGCAAAGAATTTATTGCAAAATGTTTGGATTATTTGGAAAAAGTATTTTCTTCTATAAAAGAATTATCAAACAATGGTATGAATTGGTTGTATGGGTCATTCACAAAGTACGTACAGTCAGCCAGTCATTAATATTGACGATTAACACATTTACTTGAACAAAAATATGCAAATCTCATTGAAATTAGTTACGAAATTAATAAAGTTAACTTGTACATTTTACAATATTCTCTTTTCGAACGCTAATTGCAGTTAGNGCAAATCTCATTGAAATTAGTTACGAAATTAATAAACTTAACTTGTACATTTTACAATATTCTCTTTTCGAACGCTAATTGCAGTTAGAATTTAAATCTAAAGAAATTGTCAGCAATTAACAAATTATTTGAATTATATTTATACAAAAATAAATAATATACCTATAATTTATTTACTCTTTAGTAAGCCTACAACACATCCCCTTTGAGTACTACTTTTGGATGACTTTAAGAAAAATTGAATGAATGAATGAATTTAATTTGTTTTATAGTTATTTCCGAAGTGAATAATTACAACCGTTTGTACGAAGAGTTGGATCCATTAGGTTCGGGAGCTTTTGGGGAAGTATTTGTTGCTAAATTAAAATATAATGGACGAGAATATGCGGTTAAGAAAATAAACTACCAAGGTAATTTAATGGCATTTAGATATATTATGACATTTAATGACATTAAATTGTATTATACTGTATTCGTAGATCAAATTTTGTCATGTTTTGTCAAATTTAGAATTATTTCTAATTATCAAAATTAATACACTTACAGGTGATGACCAATTACGGGAAGGTATGCGAGAAATGCAAAATTTGATAAATGTTAGGTCAGAATATTGTGTTCAATATATGAGACAATGGTATGAAAACAATGTGTATTACATTCAAATGGAGTTGTGTTCCCATAGTCTGCAGAATATTCTTCAATACAAACCACAAGTATTTGGTCGACAACCGGAAGAACCCATGAAT